CAAACATGTTTTTCAATATAAAGTGTTAATGCACATGAAAACAAATAATATAACAGGATTAACAAATGGATGTAGTTTCTTACCAGGATTAGCACAAGGCAACCACTGACGCTTGGTTGATTTGTCTTGTCCTTTTTATTTTTTATGGCTTGGTCCAGTCCATAATGCATGTAATCTAAGACTCCTTGTGCCCAGTTGTAGCTGTTCATAGCTTCTAATGTGTCGATCATAGTCAAAAAGGTCCAAGCCATTGTCGCCCCAGAGTTGCAAAAGAGATTTGTGATGAAGAGCTCTAGGATTAACAACCTGACAACATCCATTGCATTCTTCTTTCTGTCATCTGCTATTGCTGTGTTCAGACACCTATCAATCTCAGTTTTTGTGATTTTTTTTGACTTCTCGAAGTACTTCTTTTCGAAGGCCAAATTTGTTCTTGTGGAAGTTGTTGTGCTTGGCAACTTGTTTCCTTTGTTTGGCAATCCAAAGATGTCAGACACATCATTGCTTGTAATTTCATGCTCGTTGCCTTCACTGAATTTGAATTTTTTGGTTGCGGGGTTGTAGAGTCTGATTAGTTTAATTATTTGATAATTAGACTTCTGGCATTCTACCTTGGTTAACTGACCTTCCATGTAAGCCTTGATGATGCTCCAGAATGGCGTTTTTTGTAGGATCTTGAGGACATCCTTTCTTGCTGCAAGCTTGTCTTTTACCGTTTGCAATGTGTTGTCAAATGTGAGCATGTTGCTCTTGATCTGCACATAATCTGGGTTATTGCGTCTGTTTGGTTGAGGTTTTTGTGTTTGGGATTGTGTTTTTTTTGTCTTCGTTGTTTTCTTTGGTTTCAGTGTGTTTGCGGATTTGGGTGTGGATAGTTTGGCTTTTGCTGTTGTTGGTGGTGTGCCTTGTGTGTTTCTTGATGCTGTTTTGTACTCTTGCTGGCTTGTGATCATTTTGTATGCTTTTTTTTTTAATTTCAACCCGGTTACCTTTTTCCATATGACCACCTGCAAAGTGAAACAAATAGGTTACTTTAACTAAACAAAAGAAA